AGCAGCAGCCCTATCCCAAGCACCTGCTCAGGCCAGGCCCTCCTGAGGTGGGCACTACTGCCTCCAGTCTGTATAGGAAGGTGCACAGGGCACGCAGTGCCTGGCCCTGTGCTAAGCACTCTACCTGAGGGTGCTGTTGGAATGGGGACCCATGGGTACTGAGCTTCAAAGCCTGAGTTCTGGGTGTCTCACCCAGGGACCCCCAGTCACCTTTCCATATCTGCTGGCCTCAGGACTCAGGGGTTCTGAACTTGTCTGCCTAGAGCCCTTCAATGCTCCAGCTGGTCCCTGGGCAGCACTGTGGAGGGCTTCCTCAGTGGGTGGAGGGCGAGCAGGAGGCAGGGGGACTCACCCAGAAAGTCTAGGGTCATTACGTGACCACAGACAGATGTCATCTTGAAGCGGACTGGCTGGCCAGCGAAGGTTCCGGTGTACTCATGCACTGAGCAGGTTCCGTTCAGCCCTTTGTGTGAGGACATACTCCCTGCAAAGAAGCACAGTGATGGCTGCTCTAGTGAGCTGCAGCTGTGGCAGAAGCCCCAGGCCCCAGTGCTGCCTCTCAGAGGGCCAGAGTCTCCCTTTCCCAGGGCAGTCAGTGATAACGTTCCTCAGGCTACTGCAGGGAACTGGGTGCCGAGAGGTCTCACGGTTCTCAGGGAAAATACCATCCGTGACCCCTGCGTAGTAGGGGTCTACTACGCAGAGCTTCAGGTCAGTGGGGGGCCAGGAGCGCCCCACTCTGAACTCTCTCAAGAGCAGATACTCTCATACTTTCTCTGCATTTCTGTGTTCACACTTGAATTTGATTTCTGTCTCACTTCTGCCAAACTTTAAACGAAGGTCCCCAGGGATCTCCTAATTATTGGATCCCGTGGTGTCTTCTCACGTTCCCTACTAATGGCCGCTTAACCAAACTTTCTTGGCCTCTGGGAATCAGGAAATTCTGGAGTTTCCCCTCCCCTTGGACCATGACTTCTCAGCCCACTGTCTCAGGGTCTCTTCCTCCCTTAGCTGTGAGACCAGGGGGAAGTCAAGATAGACTGCTGCCATTTCTGGGTCCCTGGCAACCAAGTACCCTTCCTATTTGGAGGGAATTCAGAGACCGGAGGGGAAGCAGCACTCCAGCAATCAGTCCAGTGGCCAGAATGGGGCGGGGGCAGATGTTCCCTTTCCCAGTGCCCTGCTGTCTCAGGATGGCCATGGCCGAGGCTCAGCCTAGTGGCTGCTCTTGGTAACACAAATCATGTGGGCTGCATCTGCAGCAGTCAGGGATCAAGGGCAGTGGCACGGGTCCTGTGGCATGGCCTTGGCCCTGTAGCATGGTCTCGTCAAACTTAGACTGGGGTGGGGTCCTGGCTGTGTCTTCCTCCTTCTAATGAATTCCCTTTCTGTGTAAGTTACCAGGGCTGGTTTCTGCTCCTTATGACCAACAACCCTGACCAGCATAGAACTTTCATGTTGGCCTGTCCACACCTGCCACCATGCTGTGAGCAATGCCTGTGTCTTTTGGGAGTCCCAGCCCTAGCTCACGCTGGCTATGGCAGTAAGTGCATCCCACAGTGACTAATATCAAGGTGCTTCATGAACACCTTGCTGTCCTGAACTGAGTCCACTCCAGGGGGCTGGAGTTGCACTTCAGAAAAAGAAATGACGTGTAACATGGGCATGACAATGCTGACAGATCAAAGCCAGAGAGATGCCAAGTTGGTCTTTCCTACCTCGAGAGAGGATTTTGGCAATGGACTGAGCCAAGGATGGCTTTTCTGCAACCATGAGCACGGTCTTCATCTTGTCTTATAGTTGTCTGGGCCCTCGGCCCTTCAGGCTTCAGTGTCAGGGAAATGGCAATGAAGATGTTCAGAAACGGTTCTTCTGTAGTGCAACACTGCTTTCAACACTGACTCCTAAAAAGAAGAAAAGACACAAAGAAAATAACTATGCTTCCAATGGCACCTAGACCGCTTGCTAGCGAGGAAACTTACTCTAAAAAGACCAAAAAAACCCAGGAAAGAAGAAGAAAAATTAGAGAAACTTGAAGACAACTGACAGACAAACAACTGCCCAGGAAACTGATCTAACTCAGAGATGGCACTGAGAATTTGGCTTCGTTTGGAGAAGCTGAGATGACCCCATGACCTCAGTTGAATTTTGTCCCCAAACTTATGTTAGGATGAACCTCGGGCCTTTAGACCTAGACCTGGGCTGATGGGCCAGGGCAGGGTGGACGCCTGGCCTTCCTTCTGGGCTACAGTTCTGTGTTCTCTCTGGTGCTCAGAGTGGCACCTCCACCTTGGCTGAGCTTTGAGACATTTTCAAAATGCAGATACCCAGGCTGGGCTCCCCAAGTCCTTCTGACCCACAACCTAGCCTGAAACCCACTGGCCAGAACCTCCAGTCCCCAGCAGAGCTCTCGAGGCCCTTCACGACAGGTTCCAATCTAGTTTCTTGCCTTCCCTACCCCAACTCTTGCATTGCAGGCTGTGCTCTGGCCGATTAAATTGGACACCATTATCTAAAGAAAAAAACACACTTTCAAGCTTCTGTTTCTTTTGCTTACAATGTTCCTCCAAGCCTGGAGCATGCTACTCAACTGTCTGAAGGCCCAATTCAAGCGCTAGCCCTTTTTTAAAGAATTCTCCGAACATCCACTGGCAGGATGGATCATTTCCTCCTGTCCCAGGTCCCTTATAACACACTGCACATCATGCGACAGTTAGTTACTGCCTCATGTCCCCACTAGCACATGAGTGGCTTGCTGTCTGAATCACTGTTGGCAAATGCAACAGCTGGTTCTGTTCCTGATACAGGACATTTAATACCTGCTGGCGGAGTAAAAGAAACATACAAACCCTTTCTGTCATTTTAATCATTATAAATATGACATCAACATTGATAAACATAACACTATATATAAAAAGACTTGTACTGAGACAACTAGTCAACCTTCTGGGAAGAAAAATAAAGTTAGACTTACTTTATAATTTCCACCAAAATGGATTCCAGATTTAGCTAAGATTTAAGTAAAAGAATGAAATCAGAAAAATACAAGAAAAACATGAGTTTTTCTGTTTTTCAGAAAAAGAAAAACTCCTAAGTACTTCAAAGCTCTGAAGCACACCTCTTCATGTTTAAAAGCATTTAGTTTCTTTTTCTGTGAACTGTTGATTCATAGTTTTATCAATTTCGGTCAACTGGATTGCTGTTTCCTTATTTTTAGGAGTTGTTTGTATAATGAGGTAATTAGCCCTTTGTGATATGATGTCCAACAAGGCCCACCAAAGCAAATTAGAGCGAGAATGAGCTTGTGCTTATCTCACCAGCAATGATAGTAGGACTGAGCACATGTGTGGGTGAGGGAGTAGGGACAGGCAAACTCAAACGTAGGGCGACGCAAGTTCAAATGGAACCTCTACATGGAGTGATTTGACGGTATCTCTCAAATTATGAGTGCACATCTCCAGCAACTGCACTACCAGGAATAGATTCGATTATCCCACAGGTATTTACTGAACACCCACTACATGCTTGGCCCAGTCCTGGGTGCAAAGAACATAACACTGGGCAACTCCGGGCCTGTCCTCTGGGATTTATGCCCTGTGTGCCACATGAGGCAAAGCAGCACAAGGCAGGGGACAAGAGTGAGACATGTGGTGTCTAGGGGGAGAGTCCAGCTGAAGGACCAGGGCAGAGAAGAGGGACAGTGAGGAAGTGGGGGTGCTGGGGGGGAGGAGGCAGGAACACGGGCCTCAGCCATGGACTATGGGTTTGTTCTGACGGAGCTGGGAAGCAGTGCAGGAGCAGGATGATCTGACTTCATGTGTTGAAGGGACCCTCTGGCTGCCCCGTGGAAGGGAGTGACTGGGCTCTGAGAGGCAGTGGCGGAGGGAGGGGCGGCAGTGAGGGGAGTCTGGGCTGATTCTGAAGGCAGAGCCAACAGGACTGAGATGAAGGAAAGGGAGGCGACTCAAGGATGTCAAGGCTCTTGGCTTAGTCGGCTAAAGGATGAGATCCCCACTTGCTGAGATGGGAAATATCAAGGAAGGAGTGGTTCAGGTTGGGGAGGCAGGAGCCATGTTTCAGGCTCATTAAGTGTGAGCTGCCCATTAGACAGCCAGGAGGGCTGAGGAGGCAGTGGCGTATGGAGCCAGCAGAGCAGGAAAGGAACTCAGGTGGGGGTCAGGGAGATGAGGTGAGTCAAGAGAGGTCAGGTCCCGAAAGCCAAGGAAAAAGGCACTTCAGGGGGAGACACTGCCCTGTCAAAGGCTACCAGCAGGCTAGGTGAGGTGACAGTTGAGACTGACCACAGGTCTGGCAATATGAAGGTCCCTGGTGTCCTTGATGGGAGTTGTTTGATGGCTGTGACAGAGGCGAAGCCTGAGTGGAGTGAACTCAGGAAAGCTTGGAGGAAGGAAGGGGAATGGGTCACTGTTTCACTTCATTTAAGATAGAAGATGTGCCAGTGTGTTTGCACATGGATGGAACTGGTCCAGTAGAGGGAAAAGAGAATGTGCAGGTGAGAGGTCTCTGGTGAGAGGCAGTGGGTCAGCCAAGGGCTGCCCCTGGATGTGAACGTGGTGAGGAGATGGCACTGAGGACAGGCTGATAGCAGGGGAGAGCTGGATTTAGCAAGGTTGGATTTGCCGGGTGCGTATGAGGGAGAGGGGCTGGGGTTAAGGGGAGTGACTCCCTAAGAAGGACGAGGAGGAGGTGGGGACATGGGAAGGGTCCACACAGGGTATGCTCTAGAGGCTCCTACAATTGGGAGTCAATGGGAGCAAGGTCAAAGGGCAAGGTGCTTGATGGGGCTCAGGCAGTGGTGTGGAGCCTGATGGGGGTGAGTGAGGTCACAGGGGGAGAGGAGGCCATGGAAGGGAGCATCAGACATTGCAAGATTGTCTATGTGGACATTGAGTCCCAAAGAAGCAGGACATGGGGGTACCTCTGATGAAAACACTGAGGGAATTCTCTGCAGCATTATCATTCATAATAAAAATTAGAAACAATCTAGTGTAGGTTGATAGAATCGTTAAATAAAAGTATGGTGTGCCTAAACAGTAGAGCACCAGGTGGCATCCACTAGGTAAATACCAACATGGATCAGATCACCAAGAGAAATGACATGAAAATAGTTGGGTGCATGAAGGTGTGTAGAGTGCTGCCATCTGTGGGGACACACACACATTTAGGAAAACAAATGATTAAAGCATTTGCGTGGGGTGGGGTTAGGGCCTGAAGGTTGGGGCTGGGGCTGGGGTGGGGGCCTCCTGCTCACCACATTGCCTCTTCTGCCTTTTACATTTAGTGCTGTGGACAATTGTAACTGGTCAAAAGAACTAAGACAATGAATTTAAAACTAAAGACAAATTAAGATAAAACCAGAAGAATAAAGAAGGGCTGAAAAGGGCAGCCTTCAGAAAGAATGTTAAGGAAACCACCTCCTCTGTGGGGGCTTCTGTCACCCTTCACACTGTTCAGGGGAAGCGGCCCAGGGTCCGCCTTGGGCTGTCCTTTGCTGCAAGACACTGGATGATCTCAGTGAAATTGACATTCTTTATGAGAAAGCTGCCCCGAATGAAAGAATAATTTGCATTTTTCTCTCAAAAGAAATACTTGGATGCCCCTCCTAAATAAACAACCATCCCAGAGACAAAAAGCTGAGAAGTCCTGGAATGACAGCCCAACAGTCTACAGAGGAGCTTACCAACCCAAGAATCGCTCAGGCCACATGACCTACTGCCCTGCTGTATGCCCCCACTCCCGTCCTCCCAAAAGCTGCCTCTTCCCTCCCTGTGTGTCATGGTTATTCCTGTCCTCAGGTCTCCACCCAGGATCATTTTTCCTCAGATGCCTATTGGCTCTGACCCCCAGGCCTCTCCCTGAAAACCACACCTGGCATCATTGCTGTGTTCCCCTCACCCTCACGGATGGCATCTAGTTCATTGTTGTATATGTGGCACTCAGCACTCACTAAATGCTTACTGAATGAGTGAATGACCAAGGGTGCCTGGCCCTGTGCTAAGAGCTTCTTTTAAGCATGTAGAATCATGGAATCCTAAGGAAAGAGTCTTGGTGGTGATCTGGTACAACCACCTCAAGGAGGAAGACTCAGAAAAAGGATTTTCCAAAGGCAACCCAGGAAGTCAGTTGAGTTGGGGGTTGGGGGCAGGAAACTCACGTTTCCTTACTTCCAGCTGGGTACATTCTTTTAAAAAACTGCATCAGGTTCCTTCTACCTCTTAAAAAAACTGCAGTCGTAACTGTGATTAATTTTCCGATTAATTTTAGGAAATCACTATTTTTCCATTAAGGCACATCTCCAATTTCAAATGGAAGCCAATGAGAATAAAAGCTGAAAGCAATGGTTTGCAAAGTTCATTTATATACTACCTTAACGCTTTTGCCCTACCAACACTGTTATTCAACTCAAGAGTTGCTTTTTAAAAAAGTTTAAATACATATTAAAAGGAGAAATTTTATAGTCTCATAGAAACTGAAAGCCTGTAATCAATGGCCAGACTAGATTCTTTCTGGTAACCTACATGGTGTATCATCAACTTTGATCTTGTTGCCCGCCAAAGCTCTGCCACTGAAGTTTGTCCACTTATCTCAAGATAAGGGAGCCTTGACAGCAAACACTCCAAATTGAGATTGTAATTAGGAGGGCTGAAAGTGAAAGGGAGCAGCAGGTTAGCCTGTTACACACTCAACTCTCACCAGCAATACTACAATAGAATGTGTCCTCTGGGAGATACTGGATTTAGCTTGGCAGTGGAGATCTAGCAGTGGTCTGATCAGCATTTAGAGCCCTAGGATTTCCCACCTTAGTAACTTTACCGAACGCCTGTGGAGCCAGGAAAAGAGGGAAACAACCATTACTTAAGCTCTTCCTCTGTACTAGGTGTGCTAAAGCTAAAAACACTATTTAATATTGCCCAACAACACTACAAGGCTGGTGGTGCAATTTTTTAAACTATGAGTAAACTGAGGTTCAGATTAGTGTCAGATGACCTTTGCAAAGACTCCAGGTAGGAACCCCACGTTGGCCTGACTTCTCATATCCTGTTCTCAAAGGCTGAGGAATAAAGACGAGGCCATTATCTTCCTTTTTGCCTCTGTAAGAAATTACTTCGCCTGGATTCCAGTTAATTTGTTCACAAAAGTAGCCTCCCTCATCTACATCAACAACTCAGAGAAATACCAGGACGCCCTCATGATTGAGCTGGCGCCCAGACAGTTGAGAGTGAAACCTGCCTTAACGTGGAGCCTCGACAATCTGGGCCCAACCCTGGCCCGACCGCTGCACGGTGTCCTTGAACCTCAGTTTCCCTACCCGTGACAACAGATCCGGACAACAGACCACATCTCAAAGAACTGCAGGAGGATTCGATGAAGAGTATTACCTAAAGCCCCTGATACTTCCAGACACTTAGCTAAGCGCTGGCTCCCTCCACCTCCCTGAACCCCCAACAACAAATCCTAGGGTGTGTGTGTGTCGGGGAGTTGGGGTGGGAGTGGGGTCCAATCCCTTCAGGGAAGAGGCGGCGAAAATGCAAAGAGCCCAGCCCGGGACCCTCTTCCCCAGTCGCGGGGCTAGAGCCCCTCGGGGCTCGGTCAGCATTCTGGAAATGTGCCCGAGAAAGGCCTACCCTTCCCATATCCCTGAGCCGCCCAGCGCAACACCCGCCGCCTGCCTCTCACCCGCAGCCCCACCGAGGATCCCGTTTCAGCTCCCGCTCCCGGGGCGGCCACTGGCAACCCCTACTTCCGGGTCCGGCAGCCGCTGTTGTCACCGCGTCTGCCCTCCGGCACCCTCACGTCTCCCACTACAGGTTCCGCACCTCGCGCGTTCCGGCAGCGCGGCCCCGCATGCCGCAATCTGCAGGTGGTACCAATTCTTCTCCGCCCCGGAGAGGCAATAATGACGATGATCATTACAATAATTATGAAAAATTGAATGTTAAGCATGAAAACATATATGCTGGTAATAATTAAAATAATTAAAACTACGGATGTGTATATAGCAGGCTTTGTTCAATGCTATAAAAATATTTGTGGAATGAATGAAATGTAAAATATATCTGGAAGATGAATTGGAAAATAAAAGTAATTTTATTACTATTTTTTGTGTTAGAGTATTAGGGTTATGGAAGGTTTAAAATAATTTTCATGACCATATTTTAATATCTTTTAAAAGCATACATTTCTTTTGGGCCCTGTAGACAATTTCCCAACTTGCCTTTATTGGAATACTAGCCCTGAGCCATGCTCTGGAAATAGAAAAGTTCTATGGTCAAACTAAGACTGGGAAAAGCCAAAACTTAAGAGTCACAGTGAGATTTCATTTTCAAAATAGAAGCCCTGATTCCAAACCCACTCACTGGCAGGCTCTCCATCTCCAAAATGGTAACTCTATCTTTCTGGTTGCTCAAGCCCAATGCCTTGAAAGCATCCTGGCTTCCTTTCTTTCTCTCACTCATTATCCATCACTGTCTTCAAAATATATTTAAGATCCAATCAGTTTTCTCTCCTTGCCTGCCATCACACTGATCCAAGCCCCATCTCCTCCCTTGCCGCTATCCTGCTGCCCTATGGTCTGTTCTTCACACAGCCTTGAGTTGTAGCCACCAGATCTAAGGTTGGATCTGGGTGGTGTGACCAATTGACAGAGAGGCAGAACCAGAACCCTACTGCTCAATTAATCCAGCTCAAGGGTTCATTCTGCAGAATACGAGGAAGGACCTGAAGCTTGGGCCGAGAAGGGAGTGCTGAGTGCTCCACTCTGGAGGCCTGAGGGTCTAAAGAGGGTTCTCAGCTCTGCTGGTGCTTTCTGCCAGAAGAACCATGCAGCTGAGCCCTCCACACAGACCTACCCAGGAGTGGTGGGTCAGGCCCCCCTGTGGACCAGGTTGACAAATGACCTAGATTTAGAGGAACCCTATGACTTCTTCACCCTTCAGAGGAACTCTTTGACTATCCTCACTTAATGCAAAGATGTCTGATTGTGGTCGATGGGATACCTGAGAGCTCCTGAGTCTCTCTTTTCTCTGGTTGGGCATAACCTGGGCCACGGTTTTGCTAATACTGTTAATAATTATCACCCACTCAGTGCTTACTCCACTCTAGGTGCTTTTCTATTATTAACACATTTAATTCCCATTACAACATTAATAATAACATTTAGTAATAATAATAATAATAATAATTATCATTATTATTATTATTATTATTATTATCCTTATTCCACACATAAGAAAACAGGTCACACAGATGTAAATGGAAGAGGCAGGTTTCAAAACTGGGTAGCTTGGTTCCAGAATCCAAGTTCTCAACCACTGGCTACAGGGCTTCTCACTGCTTTCTCATTCTTTATCTTTCTAGGCTCCAGGGTCCAGTCTGTGAAGATTCAGCCAGCCTCAGTGTTAGGTCCCTGGGAGCTATGGTCACCACATCCTTCACAGGAAGCAACAGCATCAGGTATGCCCCAAACTGGTATAAGCATCTGCCAGGTTTCCAAAGTCCTCATCTACAAGAACTCAAGGGTCCTGACTCAGTTCCCTGGCTCTAAGTTGGACAACATGGCCTTCCTGACAAGCCTAGTTGTTACTGTCACTCTTATGACACCACAGTTAAGCCTGCATGAATCAGAGCTCCAGACCCCAGGGGAAATGAGACACATACCTCCCAGTTTCCTCTAGCACACCTATGACGTTGTCTACTGGGTAAATTTTACTCTTTCTTGTTACTGAAATGGTTTATAAATCAATTCTGGCATTTTTGTGTTTCTTGTACTCATGTATTATTTATGTCAGCTCCCTGCATGTCTTTGTTTTATGGCTGACTATGATGTATTGATAACCATTCATCTGTGGCCCTTATGCTTGAAAGTCAGTTTGGCTGGACCTAAAATCCCTGGCTTGCATTTTCGTTCCTTGAATATCTTAAATATGTCACTCCAACTTTTTCTGGCATAAAATATTGCCCTCAAAAAGTCTGATGATAATCTGGTTTTCTTACCTTTGTGAGTGATTCGTTTTTTTGCCTGGATGTCCGAAGTATGTCTTTTTTTCTTTTAAGTTTAATAATTTTACTACATTACATCTTTGTGTTTGTCACTGTGATCAATTTTCTCAGTTTCATAGTTTCTTTCTGAATATATAGTTTTTCAAAAAAATTTTTGCTAATTTCAGGAACGTTTTCTTGCCTCTGTACTATTTATACTTGAATTTGTACTATTCTCTTGTTTTGGTTTTCCTTTTCAGGATCTCTTATTGTATGTGTATTGATTTTTTCGCCTATCTTCTAAACCTATAACTTTACTCAATACTGTGTTGTTTATTTTATATACTGGAAAGAAAAAAAAAAGGTTGAAAGACTTAGATGACATGATCTCAAACCTTCCTATAATGCAGTCATCAAACAGAGTGGTGCTGGCATAAGGAGAAAGAGATCAAGAAAATGTAATAGACCTTCGAGTAAAGGACAGGCATATATAATATCAACTGGTTTTTGACAAAGGCACCACGGCAATTTAATAGGAGACAGGAAAGTCTTTTCAGTAAACGGTGCTTGAAACAAATAAACCTCAACTTCTACCTCATACTCTTCTGGTGTCTGCTGCTATCCATTACTTTACCCATTATATCTATTTTGCCTATACTTCCCATAAATGAGGAGAGATAGTTCCTTAGGTGACAGGCTCCTTAATGGAACTATGATTTTATTCCTCTATAACTAAAAAATTATCATTGTTTTACTAGGTACCTACCAGTTTTTTCCCCTTAAATCAAAATCATATATAACAGCAATTCTAAGCTAAGGCTCCCCAGATTGTCAGAAAACTGAACCCAAAGTGTCAATTTTTTCTTCGTTTCTCATGCACAAACCCGTGGACTGAAAAAAAGTTGATGTGAAACTTATATAAACAGAAACGTGCAGTTATCATAAATATACACTTGCGGATTCCATTCACATGCAAACGCCCATGTTACCATCACCCAGATCAAGACAAGGAACATTTCCAACATACCAGAAGGCTTCCTAGTTGCTCTCCCAGTCATTACGCCCTCCCAAACTCTTCTGTTAAAGGTTGAATGCCTGTGTACTCGCCCTCGTGTGTGTGTGTGTGTGTGTGTGTGTGTGTGTGTGTGTGTGTGTGGTAGGGATTCAGGCTGGGTGAAGGCTGGAGTTAAGAGGGCAGCGTCTGTAATATCTCCTCAGAAGCAGCAGAGGGCACTGCCGGCATGTCCCTGAGAGGTGCAGGAGGTGTTGCTGATCCTGTGCCCCTGACATGGCTCTACTGAGAAATGAAGGAAGAGTAGAAACAGCCCCTGGAAGGGGGTCTGGGGTTTTTCCTAGGTACAGCAGGCGCAAGGTTGGGGGAAGGCTTAGAACATGTTAGTCCCACACCCAAAGGTACAAACAGGAAGAAGAAATCATCTTATCAGAAACAGAAAAAATCAAAGCAAACAATTGCAGAGTCCAGAAACAGCTTACATGGCCTTGAGTGTAGTAAGGACTTCCCAGATATTTATCTGGCCCAGGCTTGCCCTCATAGCTCAAGATTCATATTTCTCTTTGTATTTGTACCAGCTACTTCCTGTAGCCTCCACAGCCTTCTCAGGTCAGATGGGGATGCAACCACCTGTCCTCTCTCCAGATACTTAGTCACTTGCCCAGCCTTGCTACTTATCCCCTTCCCCCATCATGGTGGGCAATTAATACAGCTGTATTGATTATGTATATCACATACTGAAGGTATATACAAAGTCTGAAACTAAACTAACAAACCAAATCCAAGAGTATTAAAAGGACAAAATCATGATCAGATTAGGTCCATTCTAGCAATGTATTTTAATAGTATTCTTTCTTCCATTGAATTAATTATCTTGGCAACCTTGTTGAAAATCAACTGATCATAAATGTTTATTTCTGGAATCTTAATTCTATCGATTGATCTAAATATGTCTATCCTTATGCCAGTACTATACTGTCTCAATTACTCTAGTTTTGTAGCAAACTTTGAAATCAGGAAGTGAGTCTTCCAGCATTGTTCTTTTCCAAAGCTGTTTTGACTAGTCTCAGTTTTTCGGATTTCAATATGAATTTTAGGATCAGCTTGTCAATTTCTGCAAAGAAGCCAGCTGGGACTTAGATAGACATTGCATTGACTCTGTCGTAGATGAATTTGAGGACGATCGACATCTCTTACTAGATACACTGGGTGTTGAATTTTACCAAATGCTTTTCCTACCTCTAATGAGATGATAATATGGCTTTCTTCTTTCATATGCTTATTTGGTAAATGACACTGATATTAGAGCAATATAAAATTGCTGATATTCGACCACTTTTGACCAAACACAATTTCACTTAGTTCAACCTAATGGATTTTCTAATATAGTCATGTGCTGCATAAGGATGTTTCTGTCAATGACAGATGGCATATATGACACTGGTCCCATAAGATTATAATGAAGCTGAAAAATTTCTATTACTTAGTGACGTCATAGCCATTGAAACAAAGTGCAACAGATTACTCACGTGTTTGTGGTGATGCTGGTGTAAAGAAACATACTTCACTGCCAGTCATATAAAAGTATAGCACATACAATTATGTAAAGTACATAATACTTGATAATGATAATAAATGACTACTGACTGGTCTACATATTTACTTTTTATTGTTAGAATGTACTCTTTCTACTTAAAATTTTTAAAAAGTTCATTGTAAAACATTATGTTGTGTTACACCAGCAGCAGCATCTCTTGATTGCGCCCTTTTCTCTTGTGCTTGATTTAATCTTGTGTTGTTTTGT